GAAGCTGCGCGCCGCCACCTTGCAGCGCGGCCCCGAGGCGCCCCCGGGGCACACGCACCTGCGGGGGGCGGGGAGGGGAGGGGGGGCGAAGGGAATTTCGAAGAAAAGGAGGAGGGAAAAGGAAGAATGGAAGGGGTAGAAAAAGGGAAAATACGAAAGAGGTAGAAGGGGAAGGAAGGAGAGAAAGCAGGAAGAAAAAGGAAAGACAGAAGGGGAGAGGAGGGAAGAAAGGTAGGAATAAAAGGGAAGAGAGGGGAAAGGAAGGAAAAAGAGGCAAAGGGAAGGGAAACGAGATGCAAGAAATGATTATGATTAAGGAAAGACATGAATTGAATAGGAAAAATAATCTACAGAAAAAATAACATGTATCTAAAAATAAAAAATAAAAAAAGACTAAAACATACGCACACAATAACACCCACACACGCAAACGCACACGATCACACATACACACACACCCTCACACGCACACAAAAACACTCACACACACTCAAACATACACACGCACACAATAACACCCACCCACCCACACGCACACAAAAACACACAAACACACCACACACACACACACACGCACACACACACACACACACCCACACACACACACAAAAACACTCAAACACACACACACACACACACACACAAGCACACACACACACCCACCCACCCCCCCAACACACACACACAACACACATGCACACACACACGCAACCTACCTGTTCCCCTTGTCCATCCTGACGCAGCGGCCGCCGTTGAGGCAGGAGCGCTCCGTGCAGGCCGCGTCGCCGTCGCGGGCGTGCAGGCGGCAGTCGTGGGCGCGGGTGAGGCGGCGTCACCAGGGAGGTCGAGTTCGTGTCCACCACCTGGGGGAGGAGGGGGGGGGGGAGGAGAAGAGAGGAGGGATGGGAAGGAAAAATGGGAATGAGGAGAGCAAGAGGAAGAGGGAAGGAAGGGATAGAGGAAGAGAGGGAGGGATGGGAATGAGAGGGAGAGAGGAAGAGGGAAGGAAGGATAGAGGAGAGAGAGAGAGGGAGAGAGGGAGAGAGAGAGGAGAGAGAGGAGAGAGAGAGAGAGAGAGAGAGAGAGAGAGAGAGAGAGAGAGAGAGAGAGAGAGAGAGAGAGAGAGAGAGAGAGAGGGAGGGAGAGAGAGAGAGAGAGAGAGAGAGAGAGAGAGGAGAGAGAGAGAGAGAGAGAGAGAGAGAGAGAGAGAGAGAGAGAGAGAGAGAGAGAGAGAGAGAGAGAGAGAGAGAGAGAGAGAGAGAGAGAGAGAGAGAGAGAGAGAGAGAGAGAGAGAGAGAAGAGAGAAGAGAGAGAGAGAGAGAGAAGAGAGAGAGAGAGAGAGAGAGAGATAGAGAGAGAGAGGAGGAAAGGCGGGAGGATGAAGATTAGAAGAGAACGGTGGATGCAAAGTAAAGATAGGAATTAGGGTTTGGGAGTAGTGAGGAGAGGAGGGGGAGAGGGGGAAGATAAAGAGAGGGGAGAGGAGAGTAGAAAAGAGAGGGAGAGGAGAGAACGGAAGAGAATAGTAGTGAATATTTCTAATAAAGACCACAGACAAATACTAAATAGTTATTCTGTATAGACTTCTGCAATTACAATCATTGAACAGAGAAAGATCAGACTACTCACGTAATACAGAAAAGAAGAAGAAGAAAATAATAATAATAAGAAGAAAATAATGATAATCATAATAATAATAACAAGAAGAAGAAGAAGAGAGAGAAAAAAAAACTTGCTCACGAAAAAAACATAAAAATCATGAAAATAGATAAAAATGGATGATGTGGGAATACACGAATAGCAAAAATAACAGGGTGCAACCACCAATCAGCTTTTCAGCTCTAGCAGAGGGGCGTGGCTTCCGATCAAACTTAGCATAAGGGTGACTTCTATATAGGAAAGCAAGAGAGAAGGGCATTGTCTATCAGAAGACGATCGCAATGTGTGGGTCTTGTGTAAGCATTTTGCAAGCATAATTTTTTGGGTGGGTGTACTTGGCTATAAGTCTCTCTCTCTCTCTCTCTCTCTCTCTCTCTCTCTCTCTCTCTCTCTCTCTCTCTCTCTCTCTCTCTCTCTCTCTCTCTCTCTCTCTCTCTCTCTCTCTCTCTCTCTCTCTCTCTCTCTCTCTCTCTCTCTCTCTTTCTTCATTCATTCTTTCTATCTCTTTGTCTATTTATTGTCTCTCTATCCGCCTATTTATCTCTCTCTCTCTCTGTCTCTCTATCCATCTATTTATCTCTATTTCTGCCTATCTATGTATTTATCTCTATCTATATATAATTTTTTTATTCTTTATCTGTCTATTTACGTATCTTTTCTTAACTTTCTATCTATCTATCTAAACTTTCTATCTATCTATCCATCTTTATATATTTTTCTCTTTCTATCCCTCTTTTTCCTTCCTTCCCTTTCTAAACTCCTTCCCTTATCTCTCCCGCCTTTTCTCTCCACAACCCCCCCCCTCTCTCTCTCTCTCTCTCTCTCTCTCTCTCTCTCTCTC